ATCAAATTAAATAAGCAGTCCATTTTAAAAAAAAACAAAGTTACACGAACCTAAATCTATCTTTTAAATTTGGACGAGGGTTTAAAAACTTTGCACAAGGATTTTTAAACGGATTTAATCAATGTCTAAACTCAAGGCTTTTCTAAATGTACTGAAACTGATATGATCTTATTTTTATATAAATTAAATTGTGTTAATATAATTATAAAACATTAAATTATTGAACTCCGTTATAGCGTCAAAAATGTGTGGTTCAAGGTAAAATGAATTTTTTTAATTGTACCTAAAATCACCAGGTATTGTACCGAAGGCCGCTTTAAGATAAGGTTTAACTCCATAAAAAATTGACAACAAAGATACATAAATCATATTAAAAAAATATCTAATCTCAGTTTTTTTTTCAACATCTTTATCTAGTGTTACTTAATTGCAACAGTTAAATAAATAACAAATTCGACTAAACGTTCTGAGCAAAAATGAAAAAAAGTCTACAATTAAATAGCGGCAAAAATTTCTCTTACGCCACCAAAAATACGTCCAATTATAACTTGTTATCGCAATGCTCTCTTAGAATCAATGTAGAAATAAAAAATGAAAAGTCTAATAACTAATCATTTGACTGGAACGCATAACTTAGAACATTTTATTTTTTGAATAAATATGAGAAGGCCTAGAAACAAGAACTTTCCATAAAAAATGTTATTAGTTCTCAGATTTTATACTTTATTTCTTTATTAAGAGATGCAAAAAATTATGTATTTTAGAGACCAGTGAAAAAAAGGTGCATTTTTGGGGAGAAACAAAAAAACAAGTTTAGTTTAAAAAATTACTATAGCGCTGATTTAAAAACTACTTTAATTCTTGCAAACCAATAGGTTCACTGCGCTTTGTGATATGACTAAACATTGTATATAATTTATATTTTTACAAATAATGTAATTTTTTTTTAATTTTATTATAAAGACATGCAATAAAAAATGTGTTTTCAGGGACCAGTAAAAAAATGTACAGTTTCGGGGACAAACTAAAAACCAAGTTTAGCTTAAAAAATTACTAAAGCGCTGATTTAAAAAAGACTTTAATTCTTGCAAACCAATAGGTTCACTGCGCTTTGTGATATGACAAAACGTAGTATATAACTTATATTTTTACAAATACAGAAATTTTTTCTCTTAAATTTTATTATAAATACATGCAAAAAATTATGTATTTTTTGGAACCAGCAAAAAATGTGTATTTTCGGGGACAAACTAAAAAACAAGTTTGGTTTAAAAAAATTACTATAGCGCTGATTTAAAAATGATTTTAATTTTTGCAAACCAAAAAGTTCACTGTGCTCTGTGACATAACGAGACATGGCATATATTTTTTATTTTTATTTAATTTTATCATAAAGACATACAAAAAATATGTGTTTTCGGCGACCAGTAAAAAAATGTGCATTTTCGGGGACAAACTAAAAAATAAGTTTAGTTTAAAAAATTACTATAGCGCTGATTCAAAAATGACTTTAATCCTTGCAAACCAATAGGTTCCTTGCCTTTTGTGGCATAGCAAGACATAACGTATAACTTATATTTTTACAAATACTGCAGGGACTACTAAAACAACGGGACGCGAAACTCTAATTTTATGTAGTTTTGACGACCGGGCCGTCAGAAAAAAGCGAAACACTTCTATTATTAAACAAAAATATAATTATGAATAGAAATTTAATATAAAAATAATATGGCTCAATTATTTATCACTATTTTCAAACAAAAATTAAATTGTGTTGATTAAGTGTTAAAAACAAAACAACTTTTTACAAAGAAACTGTAAATTATCCGTAAAAGCTGTAAATAATTATTTTTAAAGACAATGTTAATAAACTAATTAATCACTACTTATCATACTATATTATATTCATATCATAATAATAAATATATAATTATAAATAAATTTTAAACCATATAAATATAAAGCCATAAACACATTTCAAAACGTTATTAATTATATCACCAACGTCAACTAAATAATCAGACCACTAAGTTTTGAGTTTCATTCTTTTTCTGTCCTCGATGTTTAATGAAACAATATCAGATGTATTATCAAGGGTCGTAACACCTTTTAAGAAACAGTTAGTTAATATTGAGATAACTTTTGAAATACATATACTGTCTGTTTCTAAATGAAATGGTAATGTTGAATGCAAGAATATATATAATTTCTTTAAATAAACTACAAATTGAAAACGTTTTTTAGACATTGGAGTGCTGTTAAACAGTATATAACAAACATAAACAAACTGGAGAAGAGTATCACCAGGATAACGCAATTTACGACGTGAAACATAATCTGTAAATTCAGAACTAGCTGATTGTGATGTTGTTGTATAAACTACACTCTGCGGATCGATCTTGTGCTGTACATAACCTGCCATATAAAAAAAGGGCAGCATACTCCTAATCATAAATAGATTCCTTTTCTGCATTAATTAAACATTCATCTAAAAAAATAATATCCTCTTCCATTAGATCCATTGTGCAACAGTCTAAATGTATGCGTGACCAATAAATGTCAGTTTCATCCAAAGACACTATTTTGCTGAATAATTTCAACCGCTGAAGGTGCAAACTGTTCAATACTTGTTCTGCTGAGATAAAATAATTTCCGCCACTTAGTTGTCTACAAATAAGCAAAAAATTTGCAAAAAGATATTACCAAATAAATTGAGTTTAACAGAGTACTAAATTATAGTTAAAACAGCAATAGTCAAATAAAAACGTATCGATAAACTTTTGTATGTTAAAAAATAATACATTTAAATAAATGAGAGAAATATTTGTTTTTCAGATTTCAAATCTACAAAATTTTCTTAACTATAAGTAACACAAAAATAATTTTACCTGCAGATGCCAAATTCACCTTCAAGACGATCTGTTTGAAAAATACCAGGAAGAACATATTGGTGATTTTCTGAAAGCAGTTTTTTTATTAATTCTACCAATCCTTGTAGGGTGTTAACTAAAGCATGTTTTGTTTCTAGTGTAAAAGTATTATGACACTTTAATCCCTTTCTCTTTGACATCTTAGAAGTTGCATCAGCAAACGCTAAAAATTTTTTTAATATAAGGTCATCGAGTGTCTGGAAAGGAGACCTACTGATATCATTAAGTAAAACATCACAACCTTTCCTCTTAACATTTAGCATGTTCCATAATGAAACAACTGGTACTAAAAAACAGGCAGTGCTCTCAAAATTAGCTAATCTCAATGCTGCAACAGTTTTTTCATTAAATACAGCAACCATGTTTGCAACATTTTGTCTATCAATCAAACTAGGGTACGCTGACTTGCGTGAAAGCTTTTAGTTTTGGCAACACAAATTTTCTGTCTGTTATATAATTGAACAATGTCAGACCAATCCACCAGATAGAGGTTGGTTATTAATTTTTAAACTAATTGTTTGTGTTTTTTCTGTAAACCAATTATTTCTTATACTTTTAAACAAGTGAACTGAATCGTGAAGCATAATAACTGGTTTTTCTTTTTCTATATCACCTTGCCATGGAAAACTTTTATTTACAACAAAACTTTGGCAAACACTTCGATTTGTGGGATGGTTATCTGATAAAAGACACAGTAATTCTCCTCCTGCATTGATTATTTGTTTATTTATGTTTATAATCAAATTGTGAAGAAAGTGTACTGACAGTTTAAATATTGGTACAATTCTACAAACAAAAGAAGGTTTACCAAACATAGATTTAATCATAAAAACTAATAACGTTTTTGAAATTTTAGTGGGATTGTCCTCACTATATCCAATGAGGTCTCCTTCTCTGAAACTAACACTTGGTTTAATATACATCTCATCAAAAAAAAGGCAGCAACGCTTTTCAGAATTATTGCATTCTTTTTCATTTCCAACTTCTCCAACTCTTACTAATTTCGATATGAGAGTCTTTGGACTGGGCAAACAAAGCATATTTCTTAAATATTTATTCGGGCAAGCGTCGTCCGGAGGACGTCCACTGGACTTCTCACGGACGTCCAGACGTCCGTAAGACGTCCAACGGACGTCCCCCGGACGACGCATGCCCACTGGGTTGTTGTGTTGTCTGGAGTTTGTACCTCAATGAAAACTTAATTTTTATTTTAAATATATTTTTTTATTTTTTTAGTTACTTCATTTTACTACTTTTTGAAAAAAATTAAGTAACTTAAAAAACAATTATCTGTTTTTCAAACGTAGTAAAAACGTGGTACTTTAAATGTACATTAAAAAAATGGAGTTACTGGTATTCGTAAAACTTATACAATCATGTTTGAAAATATTTCAAAATGGCTTAAATGTGTAACTATTCCTTAATTACTTTTTTTTTTTTTTGATTCTATATATAAGAAATAGAAATTAATTTAATTTAAGATACAATTTAATTGCAATTGTTTCATAACAAAAATTTAAGCAACTTTTTTTAAAGGGGATCTGCTGCCTTGAGCGATTCATTACATGCATTATATAATTGATTTAAATTTTAAAACCGTCAGATTGAATGCAAAAAAAAAACACCAGAATAAATGCAAAAAGCGGTAATACTTACTGTTTGAATCAAGAAAAAATTTTAAAAAGAAAAATGTTGCTTTAAAGCGTTGTCTTAAAGTTTGAGGATAGTTGCGCAACTATAAACTATAAGTTATAAAAAACTATAAGTTATAAAAAACGAAGTGATTTTAAACTATCAACTTCGTTTTTTTACATCTAAAAGGAGTTTCTTTTTTCTATAATAACACGGTTTCATAAAAAAGTTCCGCTAATTTAGTTAAGTTACAAAGATTTTTTTTTTTTTTTAGATAAATTGCAATAATCTATTAAGAGATTTTATAATATTACGTCGATTTTACTTCAAAGGGTGATTAAAATATTTTTAAATAATGAGACTAAAGAAAAAATTACTAAGTTAATTTAAACAGCTATGGTAAAGAATGTTAATTCCGTCACACGCAAAGAACTTTGTTCTCTATATAAAAGCTTTATTTTAACAATCTATGCAGATCTACTAAGAAAAAGTAAAACACTGCAAAACAGATAACAAGAATAACAAAGATAAAAATGGTATTAAAAAATTCAAGTTTTTATCTAACGTGTTTTTACTAATTTTTTCAAAATAAATTTCAATGAAAAACAGTCTAATTTTAGACTTTTAACGGTTTTTTATAGAAAGTGATACTTGGCGTCCTTTTACTATTTGTGGTTACACATGGTTTAGGTATCAAAATATAATCTCGATCCTTTTAAAAATAATTAATCACGATGTATAGTTTTTTTTTTTTCACAGATTATTATTTCCTTACTATATCATTTTAAAAAATCCATAGCAATGTATTACACTTATGCATACCTGTAACATTAAAGTTTTTTAGAAACCACTTTTACCAGTTAGAAATAAGTGTAGTAATATAAATATTGCAAATAAATAACATCTGTAAGAATTTCAGTATTTTGCTTCACAAAAACATAAACCACTTTTTTAAAGTTTTTTTAAATTTTTTTCTATCATCTCAGTTCATTTTTTAGTTTTTACTTTTTAGATTTACTTTATGTAAGTGTTTTTCAGATGAGCTGCTTGATGATTCCGTAACAAACTTAGAACAAGGAGAATTACTAGCTGTTATTCCTGAATTGGCCAAATCCTACACAATATCGTTTAATTTAAAACCTGAGTCATATTCTTATGGTTTTCATAGTGTTCTTCATTTCACCGTTGGTAATGATCTTAGTAACTACGGAGACAGAACTCCTGGACTTTGGTTTCAACAGCATGATTCTAACTTTACATTGCTTCACATTGCTGTGCCTATAAATGAAAATCCTAATAGACAAATATATATCGATGCGCTTCCTCTCAATGTTTGGACAAACGTTGTCATTAGTCAGCAGCGTGTTGATAGCAAATATGTTTTGACTATTGCTCTAAATAAAACAAATGTACTTTTTATAAATAACAATAAACCCAGAACATTTAAAAATGTTAAGGTTTTTGCATCAGATCCCTGGTATCCACCTCATAATGGATCAATAAAAAATGTAATTCTAGAAAATGGAGAACCAGGTATTACTTTTTTTAGTAATATTTTATCCGGTCCCTTTAAATCAGCTGTAACGAAGAGTCTGCTTTTTCGTTTTACATTTTATTATTTCAAAAAATGTTTTATAAAAGTTTTAAAATTTTTTGTTATTTCGTTTAATTGTTTACTTTGTTAAATTGTTTAATTCAATTTAACTCCACTCTTTAAACTGTATTTTAGGAGAATCTTTAGGAAGAGCTATTCCTCCAAATCGTAAGTTTTATCAAATTTAAATAAACTTACGAAATTGATTTTTTTTTAATTACAAAACTATTTTTATTCTTTATTGATTACTTAAAATCATTAAAAAATTGTCTTCTTTACTTTGTTTTTCATCTTTACTTTTAGTGAACAGTTTTTCATCTTTACTTTTAGTGAACAGTCTTCTTTAATTTTAGTGAACAGTCTTCTTTACTTTTAGTGAACAGTCTTCTTTACTTTTAGTGAATAGTTTTTCTTCTTTACTTTAGCCTATGCAGCGATATACGATGAAGTTACACTGAAGAAAAATTATTTGATTGGGCTTTTAGGAAAAATAGAAAGATCATTTTTTATTGATTTCAATTTAAAACTCAACAGTTTTTCAAATGGACAAAGAAGTGTCATTCATTTGACTATAGGAGAGGATAATGTAAGATACGGTGATCGAATTCCTGGCATTTGGATTTATAAGAAAAAGTTACGCATTGCTTTTGATACAAGTAATAAAAAAAGTAAATACTTTGATTCCCAGCCACTTTCACTACATCAGTGGATAAATATTAAAACAAACCAAAGTGTTGAGTCAGGAATTAATTATTTTAATGTATATATTAATCACAAAAAAGTGTATGAAGTACAATACTTAAACGCGCAAATATTTAAAAATGTGCTCGTATACGCAGGAGATCCATGGTATAAACCCCAGGATGGCTCCATCAAAGACTTTCTACTTCGTAGCTCGAACGAAAATTTCATTTATGGTAAGTTTTCTTGATTTTTGTCCAAAATTTTTGTTCTAGGTATTTCTAAAAGCTTTTAAGAGAATGTTTTTGTTACCTGTTTAATTTTTATCGTGTACTATATGGCAGAGATTGTAAAAGCGGTTTATAGGTAATAAAAAAGTTTTTGTTCCGATCAGTTAAATGGTGTATCACAATAATTAGGCCGTTTTTTATCCTATTTATAAATATATAAAAGTATAACGAAAGTATTTTATTATGTTGCACTTTTTAAATTCAATCAGTTTCAATTAAATAAATAAAATAGATATCTCTTTTGATTAAAATAAAACGTAAGTTGCGTAAGTATATATACTTACGCAAATAAATAAAATAGATATCTCTTTTGATTAAAATAAAACGTAAGTTGCGTAAGTATATATACTTACGCAACTTACGTTTTTTTTTAATCAAAAGAGATATCTATTTTATTTATTTAATTGAAACTGATTGAATTTAAAAAGTGCAACATAATAAAATACTTTCGTTATACTGCATTTATTTACTGTTGTATTGAAGTTGCATTTTATTTTACTGTTTTTATTTTATGAGACAATTTTATATTTTAAAATTGATGAATCATTCATATAAAGCTTGTTTATATAAAGGTAGAAACAAAATAAACTTTGTTTATTTTTCTTCTACCTTAGTTAATTTTGTTTTTACCTTTTTTTCATTTTTATTTAGAAAAGAAATAAATTTTGAAAAAAGAAGCCATACGAAAAAAGACGTTTTGTTTTATTTTTTTAAGTGTTACAGCTCATTTTAGTGTTTAAACTTGTAACTTTTACATAAAGGTATATACTTCACATTGTTTTTATTTAGTATAAAAAAAAAAATTGTAAAAAAAGAAAATTCTTAATTCCGAAGATTCCAATAAAAAAATGTTTTAAAAAGTTAAATAACTTTTAACTTATGAAATAAGCAAAAAGGAACCCGTGTAGAAAATAAGAAATCAAAAAAATAGGAGGTTACTAACCTAACTTAAACTTAAAGAAAAGCAAAAATGATGAGCTAAAACAAAATGTTGTTAATTTAATGAAAGTAAAACTTGCATGAAGAAAAAATGAAATAACTCAGCATTTTTTTTTTTAAAAGTCATTTTTAGTAAATTCTAGTCGTTACATGGGTTTAAAATATAGCATCTTTTTTTTGGTATTGAGTTATTGACTTCGATAAAAAAGCATTTATTTTTACTGGACCAAAATACTACCATCATATTAAAGACATCAAGTTATCAATACGCGATAATTGTTCATTAAAACACTGAAAAATCCTAACCTATCTAATATTTGACTAAGATTATTGATCTGAATATTGACCCAAGATTACTGGTCTATACAAGAAGGTTGAGCTAAATATAAGTTCCATAACTCAACAATAATAAAACCTTTTATAAAATAACAATGGAAACCTAAAGAAATAGCTAATATTAAAACCAGAGCGTTCTATCGTCGATTTTATTTATTGTTTTTTTTTTTGTTTGTTTCTGTGCTTGTATTGTAATACATTTTATCCAATACATACACAAACAAAATCTTTAACTTATTAAACATGCAGTATAACGTTTAAAAAAAGATTAAGAACTGCCTTCGCAGTTTTCACATGGTACTAATTAAATTAATACAATAATAATTTAGTTGTAGATTTTATTAGTTGTTTTTTTGTTTTATTGTAATCATTTGTGAACAACAAAGTTTGAACTTTTTTAGCACATTCTAGTTTAATGACAGATTATTACTTCAAAAGAATAACAATCTCTATGATAAACTTCTTTTAAAACTTGATAATAGCTTTTTCAAAAGTAATTTAGAACTTAAAGTTATGTTTATTAAAGTATTAAATTTAATACTTCCATAATGATTAAGGTTTATGATTAACATGAAAACTCTTTAATAAAGAGCATTCAAAAATTTTGAGTTATCGTATATGCTCACCATGTATACCATTATTTAGAAAAAAACTGTTTTTAAATAGATTTACTGAATAATAAAGTTATTAAGAAAATAGTTTACTTTTGAGAAACTTTTTAAAAAACAATTTTTAAGCCTATATGCGTTAAAAACTTTCATTTGAAAACTTTTGATTATATTGTTTAAAAAGAGAACATTGGTAATTGAAAACAATTCATATTAGGCTGATTAAATGCCAGTAATGGCTTTACTATTTTACAAATAAAAGAAAAGTCTTTACTGTCATTTAAATCAGTGCGTGTAATAAAGGGGCCATTCATAAAGGATGTCACCATTTTTTAGCGAATTTCTGACCTTCCCCCCCCCCCTTCTTCTTTGTCACCGTTTGTTCTTTTTCCCTATACCCCTCTCGTAAAGGACGTCAAAATCCTGTCCCCCACCCTGTTTTTAATTTATTTTTTACCTAAGTTTTAAATTATTTCATCGCGCAATGATGTTTGAATCTGCAGCTACATCTTTGAGAAATAAAAATAAAAATATTCTCATACATTATCTTCTTAAAAACACATGTTTACGTAGTTTTCCATGTTAATTAGCTAAAATAAAAAATCTATAAAGTGATGTCCTTTTCTGATAACCTTCCCTCCCCTTCCTTTGTCCATTTTTGATTTTTTTATCTCAACCCCTTCTTCCCCTCCTCCCTATTTGGATAGCGTCCTTTATGAATGGCACCAAATAGCTTTAAATTAAATTATTAATACCATCTTTTTTTTATTATAGAGTAAAGATTTTCAAATGTAAGTTATTGAGCCATATAGATTTAAAAACATACAGCTAAATATGTCAGCGCGCTGTCATACGCTGTCAACGCTGCAGCGTTTAGAAGTTAAGTATTTAAAGTATAACCAAAATGAAATTCTATTTTTATATTTAAAAATAGTTATGTATATTAGACCATTGTCTAAATCAAATCAAATCAATACATTTTCACTTTAATTATACTGCATATATATACGATCCTTTGCGGTATATTTACAAACAGTTATAAACTGATGACGTGTAATGACTTACGGTGGTATTAATTATAGCATAATTATAATAATAAATAATAGTAAATAATATTATTAAATAATAATGACAAATATTTATAAGAATAATAGAATTATTATTAATAATATAAAACAGTATTATCTAAATATATTTTACAGCTATAATCAAAATAAAATATTTGTAACAAATAGTGATTGTCATTAATAATAATGCAAATAAAAAATATAAGAACCAGAATAATATCAATAACAAAAAATTTAACAGATAAGAAGAAGAAAAGAAATGGATAGAAGTTTAATGATTAGAAAAGAAGAGTCGAATAAGGAGAAGTCCTTGGAAAAGCTTTGTTATGTACCAGAATTTTTTAAGCCTAGTATTTTAGAAGATAAAGTACTAAATATGCATTAAAATAAAATTAAGAGAATTAAAAAAAATATAATACTAAAAAAAAAAAAAGTACAATAAAAGAAATTGTTTTAAAGAATTAGGCGGGGACGATTGCGTAGAAAATAGTTTATTTTATATTTATTACATGTTACATGGTTTAATAGCAATGCCACAATCTTTTAGAGCCATATACACTTTAAAGAATGATAAAAATGAAAGATTGCGATTAAATAAGAATTTACATACATTTATGTTTTATTTTTAGATTTTTAGATTTTTGTTTTTAGTTTATGAGTTTTATATTTTTGTTATATGGGTTTTATAATTTTATTTTATTAAAAATTTAGTTATAGAGAATTTAGTTATAGAGGTGATTGCATAAATGATAGTACATAGATTATTTTTATTAAGGAGAAACTTTTTTACATTTTGGATAATATTTTTTTTATTTTCAACAGAAAGAGAGTTCCAACAGTGAATTAATTGATACTTGATTGACTTTATCTCATACTTATGTGTTTATTTTAATGGCTTAGGGAGACTACAACAAGATACAGACCTAAGTTTATAACTATAAAAATTATTTGTGAATTTAAAATAGCTAGTAAAGCAGCTGGGCATATTATTGTAGAATTATTGTCCCATACAAGTACTCAGTTTGATAACTAGATAAAGTCGTCAAGCTATAAAAATTAAGAAAGATTATATACTACGTCAGAACTAAAACTGTTAGATTGAAAGTGAGTTATTCTTAATTATTTATTCTGGAGATTTATAAGATCCATTTTTATAAGTATGCATTTTTATTTACGACTCAATCCATTTTCAGAAAATAGAAATTCTCAGCATTCAAAATGGGGGTTATAAATTATTAACCATCGAATTATTAGACCACAATAAAAAAAAACGTTTTTATAACTGCTTTGTATAGACCACCACGCGTAGATTAAAAAATCTTTTCAAAAACACTTAAAATGGTGTTTAAAACAAGTAAAAAATAAACAAATTTACATCACAAGGGACATTAAGATTAAATCTTCCTAATGTTAAAACTGATAACGATATAAAACTTTTCTTAAACTCTCTTTTTCAATACAACATTCTTCCCTTTATAAACAAGCCTACTCGTGTAACTCTTCTAATTGAATTTCTCATTGATAATATTTTACTAACATTTTCACAACATGCAACATTCAAAGCGGAATCATAAAAAACGATATAAGCGACCACTGTGCAATTTTTTTTATATCTGATTTTTATAAAAAAGCAAAAAAAAAAGCAAACTATTAACGGAAATAAATAGGAAGATTACTGAATTTAATATAAAGGAATTTAGAAATTATTTGCTTAAAGTAAACTGGAAACAACTACATAATTGTAAAGATACAAAAAAAAGCCAACTAATTTTTTTATGAGTTCTTAATTGCGTACGACAAAGCGTATCCAATGAAGGAAATTAATAGCAAGCTTAAAAGATTAAAAAGTCCATGAATTACAAAAGGACTTAATAAATCTTCTAAGAAGAAACAAAAACTCAATAAAAATTATTTTTTTAAAAAACATATCAAAATGAAAAAAAATATAAAACTTAAAAAAACCTGTTTGACAAACTTAAAAAATTTTTTTTTTTTTAAATTGGTTCGCAAATTTATTTCAAAATAATATCGGAAATAACAAAAAAAACTTAGGATATAATAAAGGAAATAATAGGAAAAGAAAAGAAAACTCGTGATTATACTTAACCGAAACATTTATAAACTGAGGATGAAAGAACATTAACTAATGAGAAAAAAGATATCGCAAGCAGTTTCAATAACTTTTTTATAAACGTAGGTAATAACCTAGCAAACAAAATAAGACCAGGAAAAAAAATTTTAAACATATTTAAAAGAAGTGGGTTATGTAATGGATGAACTTGAGGTATCGCCAAATGAACTTCTGCTAGGGCTAGGATTGGGGTTAGGGTCAGGGTTAGGGTTGTATGATAAAACCAAACAAAAACGCATGTCTTGATGGTATAAACCCTAATGTTGTTAAAGAAGTTTTTAGTATTATTGAGAAATTTTACTTATTAATTTTAATCTTTCATTTAAATATAGAGTTTTTTCTGATCTCTTAAAACTAACTAGAGTATACCATAATTTAAAGATGGCGGTATCTCAAAGTTATCTAATTACAGACCAATGTCAGTACTCCAATGTTTTTTTGAAATTCTAGAACAAATAATGCATAATAGGCTTTACAACTCACAAATTACAAAGTTCTAAATGTTAAACAGTACGGATTTAGAAAAGGGCACTCGACAGAACATACATTAATTAAATTAGTTGAAGAAATATTAAAATGGTTTCAAAACAACCAGTAAACTCTTGGAGTGCTGATTGACTTCTCTAAAGTCTTTGATACTGTGAACCATAGTATTCTTTTTTACAAACTTGAAAATTTTTGAAAATAATAAC